GAGATTTTGGAAAGGGTCCAGAGGAGGGCGACTAAGATGATCAGGGGGCTGGAGCACCTCCCCTATGAGGACAGGCTGAGGGAGTTGGGCTTGTTCAGCCTGGAGAAGAGAAGGCTGCGGGGTGACCTCATTGCAGCCTATCAATACCTGAAGGGAACCTACACCCAGGAGGGGAGTAAACTCATCAAAAGGGCTGACAATAGCAGGACTAGGGGAAATGGATCCAAGTTGAAGGAGGGAAGATTTAGGTTGGATGTTAGGGGGAAGTTCTTTACTAGGAGAGTGGTTAGGCCCTGGAACGGGCTGCCCAGGGAGGTTGTGGATGCCCCGTCCTTGGACGTGTTTAAGGCCAGGTTGGACGGGGTCCTGGGCAACCTGATCTGAATGTGTATGTTTGGTGGCCCTGCCAGGCAGGGGGGTTGGAACTACATGATCCTTGGGGTCCCTTCCAACCCGGGTGATTCTGTGATTCTGTGATTCTGTGATTCTGTGAAAGTAGTGTACAATGTGACAAGAGGTTATGGCACATTTCTGCTTTCCTTGTTGCTTTCATCTACAAAGGCATTCATAGGAATCAATGAAAGTATGTATAAAATATTACTTGAAAATGTGTAAGCATGTCAGAATTTGACTCTTTAGAGCCTGAAAGCATTTAGTAGTATTTTGCATTTAATTTACCCATCCTATTTAAGTGATTGTCAACTATAGAACTAAGAAAATTTTAGTCTTGCTATACAGGTGATTGTAAAATGCCAATGTTAATATTACTAAATAACTTTACCTACTGAATGGATTCAGCATGAAGCAGTTGAAAATTAATTTGATAGCATATGGTTTAATCAATGTTACTATCTTTGTTTCTAGATACATAACTCCCTTTTGGCTATGCAATTCAATGTATTATTTTGATAACAGTTGGAAAAACTGTGCTGTGAAACTGAGTATTAAACTTTTTTTTCCTTATAATCATATGCCACTTTTAAATTTCTATCAAAGCTCACGATATCTAGATGGAAAAATTCAAATATTAGGACTTTCAAACAGTGGATCAGGCAATTTCAGATGAACTTAATGCATCCAAAATGCCAGGTGCAACATAAAGGATTGGAGGTGGGAGAAATTAGCGAGGTTTATGTTGGTCTTAAATCTGAACATCCTTTTTTGTTTAAATAATATGTGTGGTCTGCATGCATGCATATGCATACACTCACCTTACTGAAAAGACATTGATTAGATAATGGAGTCAGTATGTACTCTCCATTTTTTCAAGACAAAATTCAGGTAGATTTTCAACACTATTTCATTCAGGAAAAATACTATTCAAGATGTAACTTCCACTTGCTTCTTTATCTCCTCTGTGTTTCTTTGAGGGACCTCAAGGATCATCAAGTTCCAACGCCTCACAGGTGACAGGCAGGGCCACCAACAATATGGAGAGGTATTAGTGTTACAGCTTGCTATAAGCTAGCTTTGCTCATCTTTTATTATGATCCTTCTTCTTGGTGAAAACTGAATAGATCAGCATGTCACACACAATCATTGGTTTGAAGGAATCTTTGCACCATAGGTTGTAAAAGTCCAGCTGAATGTATTACACTGTGTGTAATAGAGAGTGTCCCTACTGTCAAGGGTGTAGTAACATAGACATAGTAACAAGTATTTCATTTTTATGGAATGGTAGGCCATTTGTAGTATTGTATTTATTTGATATCTGTATCTGAGATAGCAACACGTATCACCTGAGTGAATGACTTGCCTTGGGTTTGTTTACTGCCAAAAAATTAGGATCTGATTTGACTTGTTTGATACTGTTTTTTTTCTGACAAAGTACTGGAACTTTCTGGATGAGAACTGAGTTGTGTTGTCACTTACAGTCTTTTTAGTCTTCATGAAAACAGCAGTCTTCAGCTTTCATGTTTGCACTGAATTAAATT